TCTGTGACTTTCCTTTCCTCCATTGATTACGGTGACATTATTTACATGAACGCTCCTACAAGAACCCTGCAGATGTTGGATGCTGTCTATCATGGTGCACTAAGATTCATAACTGGCTGTGATTATCGTACCCACCACTGCACCCAGTATTCACTGGTTAACTGGACATCATTAACTTCACGCAGACTCTCACTGGTACATTTTCATCTTTAAATCACTTCTTGGTCTGTTGCCTTCATACATCTCCTCCTACATGTCTCTGTGTGAGTGCAGCTACAGCGTGCGCTCTCAGGACATTATTACCTGCAGTGTTCCGTCAGTGCGAACTGAACTAGGCAAGAGGGCCTTCTCCTACTCTGCTCCGGTTTCCTGGAATATCTTGTAGTGAACTTGACCTGATGTCAAAACTGACCAGATGGACAGAAACTGTCATTTCATTGATTTGAATCCAGAAATACAGTTTGACCCATCCTGAGACTTTCTTTCTTGAATTAATCAAGTGGAAAAGACAATTCTCTATGATCATTACTATTTTACAAATGTTTTGATAATCAAATTGTTTTGGTTCAAACAGTGTCTACATGTTGAAGTGAACTAATCATTTTTATTTACTTAAACAGTAGTAATGATTTTTATTCCTCAATTCAAAGTGAAATCAAGTTAGAGTACGTTACAGAGTAATGATTCAATTTTGATCGTCTGCTTTGAAGTGAGCAAGTTTGTAAGAGTGTGTCAAAGTTCAGGTTTCGGTCAACTAAAAGTTTACTGAAAAGAAATGTCATGTTTAACTTTTACAGCAAGATACTTGGTGGAGCGACGCCACGAAGACTGGTTTTCTCCAACAATCTTTCTGTCTGTTCTTAAACAATCCTTGACTTTCCATAACACCTTACATCACAAACCACACCTCTGCTTTGGTCCATCGACCAATCAAAAGCTCTCAAATGAACCGGAAGTAGAGCCCATTTAAATGTGGCACTTCCCAGTTCAACTAGGGAGTTCAGAGTTTTGGAGTTCAGAGTTTTTGGAATCCAGAATGAAGAGAGTTTGGGAGTTCCTGAATGCAAACGCAGGCATTCAGGGATGCTGCTAAACCAATCAAGCTGAACCATAGACGATTTTGGGAATTATAACTTCTGTTTGGATAACCTCGCACGACTCTCGAGGTATTTAGCTGTTCTCACGGAGACGCTGAACAGTGGTTGGAAGTGAGACTCCACGCCGGAACTGATCTATCTTCAGAAAAGGTAAAAGTCGACCTTCACCAAAAGTGTACTGTTGGGACAAGCTGATTTCCAAAAGAGCGTGCTGTCCTGGTTAAAACAGACAAATTCCTTCACACATCTCTCTGTAAGATAAATCTCAATTTTCCATCTTTAAACTCTCCTTTCTGCTAGAAAATTAATCCAGATGTTTTCAGAAATGTCTGTGGTGAAGCAATGGAAAATCATGGCCGTATGGTTTTCCTGGTTGTAAAGCTGATTGACTATGTTGTTATTTTCATATTCTGCCAAATTAATGTAAATGTTTGATGTTAAACTTTGATTCTGTAAATAAATGACCTCCATTCATTTTGATGGGTCAAAGATAAATAACGTCTCACGTTACATTTCTGTTAAATTCAAAGCACGACATCATACAGTCCAGAAAGATGAGTGAACCCATTTAATGTATGAATATATCTCAGGATATGTCATACTACAATCTTACAAAAAAAATTGAAGCTCTCGACCTTGACCTCTCTAAGTGGCTTTAAGAATTTGTTGGACTCCTGGCAGGGACCAATGCAGACATGTTCCTGTTTTTAGTTTTCTATATTCACCTTATAATCTAGCTGTTTTTTGTTACTTTTTTTTTTCAGCCATCCTATTTGTTAAAAAAAATAAAATAAAATCTGTATGCCTTTTTATAACTGCCCATTGTTGTCATCATTCTTTGTTGAAATCAGGTCTCTCTTGTAAACGAGTCCTCGAGGCTCAATGGGATTTACCTGTCTAAATAAAGGTTGAATGAATGAAAGAAAATTTAGGAAGGTGTACTACCCTTTTTGACCACTAGATGGCAGTATAAGACTGTTTGAACCAAAGGATGGATAGTGAGGAGTAGCATGTTTCTTTAAGAAAAATGGGAGGGAGGCCCCTTGACGTGACATGGGCTGTCTCTCCGGGCAGCACGGTGGCGCAACTGGTAGAGCTGCTGCCTCTCAGCAAGCAGGTCCCTGGTTCAAACCCCGGTCCAGGGGCCTTCTGGGTGGAGTTTGCATGTTCTCTCCGTGCATGCGTGGGTTTTCTCCGGGTGCTCCGGTTTCCTCCCACAG